TCCATTCACAAATATCTTGAAACTGAAAGTGATAGCACTAGAGGTAAGGGGGAAAATATGTCTTTTTGTGAACTGACCCTTTAGCAGCGTGAAGGTTAGTTTTTCCTTTTAACATTCATGAAATGAAACTTTTAAGTTACATACTTATCACATGGTGCAATGTGACTAAGCAATGCTAAGTGGCCGCTAAGAGCACTTTTCATGTTGGATCGAGTGAAAAGAAAAAGAAACAGAGAAACTTGTGAAGCCATTTATGCATCAGATGTGCTGACAGTCAGGCGGCATGTTTATACTCCAACAAAGTGCACTCACACATTGTGCATCAGCCCAGCCGCTGTGGCCTGTCTGATGTGTCAGAGCCTTCCTCTCCCTTCGCTCTACGCTCATTCCAGGGGAACATGTGCGCTGGAATTCTCCCCCAATTAAGACAGGGATTAGCCAGGTCCGCTGTGGGAACCGACCGAGTGTGGGAAAACAGAGGGCCTGTCCCTTTCTCCTTCCCTCACCGACACTCAGCCTCATTCTCACTCGCTCTTGTTCATAAAGCTGCCTCCCTCCCCTGTCCGTCTCACCCTTACTGTAACTCTTCCTCCTCCCTTTTCTCACCCTATATTCTGCCTTTTCTCAACATTCTCATTTTAGAACTTTCACTCTGTTTAAGCCACAATTCCAAAAAATCCATTTCCCATTGTTTTCCCCTCGCATCTTTTTAATTATGCACACTGACCCCCTTTATTTTTTTCTTCTTTTTTTCTTCTTTCTTAGCCACCCAGAATCTCCATAGATTTCAGTCCTAATTCTTCAAGGTTTTCAGAAGTGCACGGTTCTTCTGTGCTCCCCTCTCCTGCCCCTTCCCTCCTCCTTCTTAATGCCTCTCGAGCCTTCTTACTGAAAGCTTGTCTGAAGGGGAGCTGGGGACTCTTGCATGAATAGTCTGAGACTGTCAGACTGAAAGAGGGGGTCGAAAAGACAGCTCATCAGAAAGGAAAAGACAGGTGTCTCCGCATATAGACAGTTACAAAGTTTATGTTGGCATTTTTGCATCTGATATCCAACTAAAAAAATTATTTAACTAACATTTTATTGGTATATTGCACATACAATTTAATCTGCAGCATCACATAAATGAACCATAATTCTTATCAGTATCATGGGAGAATTCAAGAAACAACCCATAAAACTCGATTGTGCCAAACATCCATGGGAACATCCTGGTTGAACTCCATGCTCACTTTTCCATTGTCATTACATCTCTTTCTCATGATCGTGCAATACTCTCACTATCACACCAGATTCCTCTCCCACTGTGTCCACATTCCTACTCATTGTCACCTTTTCTTCCTTGTTCCCACTCTCCCTCTCCTTTCCTTGCGTTCCCATAAATCCCTTCCCTGTGCACTCCTCCACACAAGGCTTGTCCGTTCCAATTATGGCAGGGCCGTCCAGCCCCCAGCTCACACACAGCCCGCTCTCATTAAGCCTGTATCAATTAGGCATTAACCTCCTAAAACAAAGGGCCTCTTGACGAGTGGCCCATCGCAGGCCATGTGATGTACTTCCTCTGCATTGCTCCACCCTGCTTCCCATCCTCAGAACGACACATTCATCCAACGTCTTTCCCACTGTGCTGGCCACAAAACAGCTCTCAGCCAAAAGCATACATACATATATATTACTCCAGACAGCCATAAAGCAAAATAATGCAAAGCTCAGGTTTATACAGAATTTTGAGTGACGAAATATATAAACAGTCAATAAATAAGTAATAATATTTTAATTGCATCTATGACAGGATCAGAGGCAAACTGATGTGTCTTCTGTAATGATACAATGATGGCTTATTTTCATCAAGATTAAAAGCACCAGTGTGTATGATTTAACCAACTTAATACTGCTCACCTTCCAAGTGTGTAGGAGAAACTACAGTGTTTGCGAAACTCGCGAAATACGCGAATGGCCCCTTTTTGGAGCCAGTTTGGTTTGTCTGTTCCGGGCTGCCGTAGAAACATGGTGGTTCAACATGGGCTCCACAGAAAACAACCTGTGACATTTGTGGAATAAAAAGGCTCATTCTAAGGTAACAAAAACACAATGATTCTTATTTTCAGGTGATTATGAAAACATACCTATGAATATTATATTCTATTTCTGCCAAGAGATGCATCATCTTGAACTAGCTTAGTTTAGTAGCTGCAGGTACAAAAGCATTTCTTATCGTTTTGTTCTCCCTTAGTGGCCACAAACTACCACCTAGAGCAAAGCAATCCTGAAGAACAGAGCATGGCTTACACTGCAGTTGTGAGGAGTAAAGAACTGATAGGTTGAGTTGAGACTCACCTATATTCTTACTAGCCTATTTGACAATTTGGTTTAGAGAATTTTGGTTTTTCAGAGACAGGTTACCAAACTCATTGATTCAATAAAATCCTGATAAAAAGGGGTTATAATAGTTTTTATCAGTGTGAAAACAGGACAGTTTTCTGAGACAAAACAAACAATAATGTGCCTTCTTTACACACTGCCTCACAATTCTTCCTCAAGGTCTATTTAGAGTCTATGACTATCCCAAGGTACATGTAGCTTTGTACACAGTCAACAGCCTGGTCTTAAATTATCGTAGTCTCATAGATTTAATGATTATATCCTTTGTCTTGGTAATGTTTAATTCCAAGAAAGATTCGTCCCACCAGGGGACAAACTCAACAATGACTGGGTTGTGGCTGGGCTCATTATTGTGTAGCAGACTTACAATGACTGTATCATCTTCAGATTTCCCAGATTTCCTGTTCTCATGCTTACATGCACAAGTCTGTGTACAGAATATAAAGGTGAGAGAACCCAGCCCTGGGGTGAGCCAGTAGAAGAATACAATGAATCTGATAAAAAAGCTGTTCACTTTCACCCTGTGTGTTCTGTTCTGTTCAGTGTTTGAGGTGGACAGTGCTGAACATGAACTCCTTACTGCAGATGTGCAACATTACAGAATGCAATGTATTTTTTCTGAAATAAATGCTATCTTTGTGAAGCTGCAAATGTTCAGTTTTGATGATACAATTTGATACAATTACAAATACAATTTCTTAAAAGGTGTAAAATGTAGTCGATTCCATTATACTGAATGACTTAATGCTTAACTTTGACCCCCAAAAGACAAGAGATAAAAAACACCTTACGATCATTAAATGGCAACTTCATAGCAAAATATGTGCTTTCCCCCACATAGTCATAAAGCAAAATAATACAAAGCTCTGCATTGTTTAAATAGTAAATAAGTAAGTAATAATGATCATATTCATGTTTTAAATGCAACTATGATCCACTGATCTGTGACTTTGTGGGATCAGTAAAATATGAGTAAGTAATCAATTACTGCTTTACATAAACTGATTCACCGTACATACGGAGGTATGGGGGTTTAACCATTGGAAGCCATTGGAAGTTGTGACATTGTCTATAATTTAGTCTAGTAAGATTTATTTTTTTTATTTAGATTTAAGACTTCATTCATCGAATGCAACAATCTTTTTGTTGTTTCACTGAACTCTTAACAGATGTTTCTTAATGGAAAAACCAGAGATCACCAACCAGTCATTCCTTTTAACATATAATTTTAACTAAATCATTGTTTCAAGTTTTTCTCTTTATAAGACCAACTGAATCTTATCAAATTATCATTAAGATCAGTATTTGCATCATAATAGTGACCACATATAGTGGTTAGTAAAAAGTTGTTCACAGTCCAAGAAGTGAACTCCAAAATGCTCTAAGTTGGGGGAAAAAACTTGGCACATGGCCTCAGGGACCAGCTGTAGTGCACCAGATTTCAACCTCTATGCATTTGTAACATTACAGTTTCTGCTATTTATCCACTACTTTTCTTGCTTTTTGTTTACTCAGAGTAAACTACATTTGTACAAGTTTGCAGAGGCCACAAGGTCTCTCTATCTTTGTTGGTGGAGTGGCAAACAACAACCTGGTTTTGATTTTCCCACAGATCTGCCGGTGAGAGGAGTGGTCCCCAGCACCCAGCGCTTTGGCACAGTGACTATGTTGGCACAGGCCCAAACTGAGAACCCCCCACCCCTTTTCCCAGGGCCCTGAGAGTGTAATACATTACTAACAAAATCCCACTTCCCATTCCTCTCAAACTTTCACACCCCTGTTCCCCTCCTCCCACGGCTGGCATGCCCCCTGAAAAAAGGATTGGGGTGACATGCGTATGACTCTTTCCAATCTCCTCTACTTTTCCCATCATTCCCCAGAGTATCATACTTTTTATTTTATCTTTTTTTGACATAAAACAGTTTTTATTAACCAAACCTTTAAACCTTTAAAGTACTTTTAAATGGAATTTCCAATTTCTAAGCTATTTCAGCTATGGCACTATTAAAAACTATGAAACCCAGCTACCAAAACACACTAGGAAAAAATGCAGACCCTTTCACTGTTAAAGGGATTTAAAGGGAATAGATGCCTATTCACACCAACACTGAGGTTATAAATATGAACCCTCATTCTGGAAAAAGCCTGGCTTGTTTGCGCCACAGTTCTCAGCGCGGCATTGAGGGAAAGTATTCACAGGCGTGTACGTGTCTGGGTAACATGTAATGACATTATTCTCACCAGGGTGACCCCTCATTGTCACCACGCTTTCTTCTCCCGAGCTCGTGAAATTGACATAAGCTTTACAAACATTCCAGGCATTTTTTTCTCAAGGCCGGATTTCTTTGGGGGCCTTTCATAGAGAAAACCATCAGTATATGCAGCACCACCTAGTGATGGCGTAAATGCACACCATACACATGCTCTCTGGTCAAAACAACGTATTTAGTTAGATTTATAACTAGTCCACTTGAAAAGTAATGTTTTAATTTGAATAAAACCAGCTTAAAGAATATGTATGATTTCACTGAAACAAATGTTTAAAACTGTATGATTTTATTTTGTAACTTAAACCTATGGAATTTTTAAGTATATTGCAAATATGATATATGCTGATACATAAAATACATTTATGGTTCAGATTGTGTGGCCAGTTTTCTCAATTGAGTGATGAATTAGCACTTCGGGAGCGCCCCGCCTCCTGTATCCCCTGCAGTCTGCAGAGATGTGAGATCTCCTCTTTATACCTGCAGGAAGTGGTAAAATTCAATGTAACTCTTCTGAAAGTTAACATTATATGACTGACACATTAAGTGACTTCCTGACCTGCCCAGGTGGTTGTCAATGTAGTCCTGCAACTCCGACACCTGCGCCTCTGCCACTGTTGCTCTGGTGATGAGGACGGCACGCTCCTTCTCAAAGCCCATCTGTGTGACGAAAGGAAATCTGCAAATCACTATTATCACAGAAAACAGGTTTAAGTGAGGTTTTTGTGTGAGGGATATATAATTTGACAATCCAAATGTTTACCAGCGTAGAGTCTGGCATCTCCCTCAGCTGTTTCCTGATGTCCGACCAGGATTCTTCGCATATCTCCTCCAGTTTTGACGGCCTGATAAAGTTACATTTTTAATCATTCTTAAGTGACACAATCCACAGCTGACCATATTTGTCATTTGGAAAAATACAAAAGTGGCACTCACTCCTGAAGGCTGAAATCTCCAACAGGCATTTGGAGGACAGCTACCTATAACAGAAAAGTCAGGATGAAGGTCTTACCTTAAACAAATAAATGTATGTAAAACAGTAGGGCAATATGAATGAAGATTTGAAGTGTGTGACATAAACAGAACCTGAGTTGCAATATTTTTCTCC